AGAGGATCGCGTAGTCGTCGTCCTCGATCAACTGCACGTGGTTCAGGTCCCAGACGTCGTCGCTCGGCGTGTGCTCCACGGCGTTCCAGCCGACCTCGACGTCGCCGTCCTTGCCGACCTTGGCGAACTCCTCGTGGTAGAGGGCCCAGAACGACGCGCCCGAGTTGGCCCGCTGGACGTCGTGGATGTCGATCTCCTTCGTCGAGTACTTGGCGTAGTCGCCGCTGCGCCAGTTCCACTTGTAGGCGTAGCCGTCGAGGGACGTGTCCTTGCCCACGGCGAGGAGGAGCTCGTCGTCGTCCCACATCTTGAGGCCCGCGGCGCGGTGCAGCGCGTCGCCCTCGTAGAGCGGCGTCATCGTGCGCACGGTGCCGTCGTAGGCCATGGCGACGAGCCAGGACGACGTCAGGCTCCCCGATTCGTCCTCGTAGATGAGGTTGAAGGCGAGGTAGCCGTCGGAGGCGGCGCTGCCGACGGCCTTCTCCACGAGGTCCGCGTCGTACGACGTCGTCATCTTCCGCGGCACGTACTTCAACACCTTGGCCTCCGCGAGGGACGCGCAGTCGTCGACGCCCTCCCAGGCCTCGATCCAGGAGCAGACGCTGTCGATCTCCAGGAGCTCGTGGTACGTGACCTCGCCCGTGACCGACGCCGCCGCGAGCCGCTTCGCCGGCGGCAGCGTCGGGTTCGTGACGACGTAGGCGACGGCGCCGACGCAGAACGCGACGCCGCAGGCGAGGCCGAGGCGCGCCCGCCGCGAGTTCACGTCGCGCCGCTCGAGGAGCTCGTCCTCGCTCAGCGGCACGCGCTCGTACTCGCGCTTGGACATCGGGCTGCCCCGCACCGATGAAGCCCCGACGTGTCGAAAAAGAGCTCCTTTGGTTTTTTAACGTGGGACTGCCCTCGGGCACAAGGCACGACTCGAGCCTCGAGGCGCAGCTTCTCGGCGTCGCGCGGGGATGGAGGCGGAGGCGGTGCTCGCGACGGCCTTGTACGGCGCCGATGACGATGCGAAGTACGCCGCCGCGCTGCGGCTTGTGGCGCTCTCGGAGCACGACGACACCAAGGTCGGCAGCATCGCTTCGCTGCTGGAGCTCGCGCGCCGCGGCGCGGGGCTGCCCGCCCAGCTGGCCGTGGTCGCGCTGGGACGGCTCGCGCTCGACTACGACGGCATGAAGGTGCGCATCGCGGCGGCGGGCGGCGTCGAGGTCCTCTTCGAGCTCCTGCGGCGCCCGGAATGCCAGATCACGGAGCTCGCCGCGAGCGCGCTGGTGCGCCTCGGTCCCAACGTCGACTTCATGCTCGAGAAGAACAACTTATTCACGCTCGCGCTCAAGATCGACGCCGAGCGGAAGGAGTGGGCCGCCGTCGATCCGCGCGTGGCGTTGGCGATCAACGCGATCGCGTTCGAACTCTGCGAGCACCTGATCCAGTGCAACGCGAAGCTCGAGGCGCCGATCGTCGAGGCCGAGGCGCGTTTGCTCAAGTTCCAGACCGACGCCTTCAACGACTACCAGCGGATTCTCTCGACGGAGTGGGAGAAGGACGACTCGGACGAGGCGGCGCGGCCCGCGGTCTGGACCTTCGCCGAGTTGCAACGCGCCTACGGCAGTCAGCTGGCCCAGTACATGTACCTCGGGCAACGCGGCTACATGTACGACTCGGGCTCCGAGTCGCCGGACTTCGAGCTCACGGGCTCGCAGACGGCCGCGGAGCGCACCGAGGCGAACCGGATCCGCGCGGAGCAAGAGGGCGACGTCCTCGACCTCGCCACCGACGACGAGGCGTCGGCGCCGCCCAAGCCCGACAGCGACGACGACGAGTGCGCCGTCGTCTCCACCTTGGGGGGCTGAGCCGCGCGGGCCATCCCCGAAACAACCTAGGTCCCAAATTACGCGGCGGCGTAATTTACGTGGGCCGTCCCACGGCGTTTTTTACGCGTGTTTACGCGTTTTTTACGCGTTTTTTACGCGGAGCTTTTTTTTTATTTAATTCAGGAGGCTACCTAAAAAAAAGTACCAAACAACATGACGGATTTTTGGTGCCGGCCTCCCGGCGCCCACCCACCCACCTCCCGGCCAATCAACGAGCTCCTTTGTCGTTGGTTGCCTTCAAGTTGCCGCGTCGCGCGCCGCTGGGCGATCGCTGAATTGCCACACCGCGCGCGCGGCGCCCGCCGCGGTCGACCGGGAGTCGCCGGTGCCGCTGCAGCAGCCGCCACCGTGCGGCCGCGGGTCAGCCGACGAACGCCGGGCGCGGCCCGACTCGATGAGGACACCGCCGTGGCCCATGGCACCTCCTCCCGGCTCCTGGCGCGGCGGCGCGGGACGCGGGACGCGCGCGGCCTCCACGCGCGCGCGCGCGCGTTACACTGGCAAGTACCCCCTAAGTACACTTCGGGTTTTTGAAATCCGACCTCCGGGCCCACCCACCCACCCCGTCATGTTGTCGGATCTTTTGTCCGAGGCCCCCCCCTGTTTAATTATTTATTTTTTCGCCGGGGGTCCGAGATGCAAACGGCGTCGATTTAGACTAGAAAAAAAAGAGAGCGAACCGGCCTCATCGAACCGACTTGTTCCAGTCCCGCCCGTCGTGAGGGCCGACTGGCCCCGGGCGACGCTTTAGGGACGTCCAAAATCAGCCAGTCGACTGGTAAAAAAACGCTATAGGGACGTCCAAAATCAGCCAGTCGACTGGTAAAAAAACGCTTTAGGGACTTCTAAAATCAGCCAGTCGACTGGTCCAAAAGCGCTTTAGGGACTTCTAAAATCAGCCAGTTGACTGGTCCAAAACCGCTTTAGGGACGCCCAAAAATCACCCAGTCGACAGTCGGAAATACGCGGGGAGCTGCTCCTCATCTAGGATTTCCCAGAGCCCCAAACAGTCGACTGTTTCGACTGATTTCAGTCTCTTCGACTGGCCGGCCGCGAGCTCGGATTTCCCAGAGCCCCAAACAGTCGACTGTTTCGACTGATTTCAGTCTCTTCGACTGGCCGGTCGCGCGACGATCGCGAGCTCGAATTTCCCAGAGCCCCAAACAGTCGACTGTTTCGACTGATTTCAGTCTCTTCGACTGGCCGGCCGCGAGCTCGGATTTCCCAGAGCCCCAAACAGTCGACTGTTTCGACTGATTCA